AATATTAAAACATCTCAGAGACCCCAAACTTTTCAAAAGTAGTTTACTATACTGTCTATATTTTTTAAAGAAGAGAGAGATTTTTAAATGCCAAACATTTTAAGCCAAAATTAATTTTCTGCATGACTGATAAAATTGTGTTTACGTCTTTAGCAAATGTACCTACTTCAGAAATAAATATCATAGGCACTGGTGGCTTGTAATGTAAATGATTTATACTGAAATATAAGCTTACATAAAATTGTGTAAACCCTGTTATCATCAAATTTGCCCCTTTTCAAGTGACAAACTACTGCCAAAATAACCAAAACTTTATTATAATGTCATAAAATTAAATTGTCAATAAAATCATCCTTTCACTTTTTTTTTTTTTTTTTTTTATAGCTTTTTTGCATTTAGTTAGGTTTCTGGCATGTCTGCCAGCTCAGAAAAGCTGAAAAGAAAACATGCAGCCAGTTCATTATGGGCTGTCTGAGTTTGAAACTGTGACATCCAGCGAGCTGTTTCAGTTTGCAGCTGGTTTCTAGGTAGATAGCTATCTATTTGAATAAGACCACCTCTGAGCCATATATGGATATATTCATGTGTCTTGTGTCGATGCCCCATAGAAGAGAGGGGTGGGGTGAGCAGTAGATCCTTAGCATTTAAAGAGACATGCAACAAAACGGGTCGCTGTGAACAAAGCTGTTTTTGACAAGGTATAAAGGGTGTTGTTTTACATGACCACTGAGGAATTTTAACCAAAGTATGTTGCAGACATTTCATGAAGACGCTAAAGAATCATACCATCTTGAGGAAAATGGGCATCTGATGCCCCCTTTAAGACAATTATGTTTTGCAATACAATCTTAAAATGTCAACCCTGTTAGCATGGTTTTATATAGTAAACATCTGATGACTGAAATGTGGATATCTGTAAAGATTTGATCATTGAAAGCACACTGTAGTTTCACAATCTTGGGCACAATGCTTGTAAAATCAAACTGAACTGTACAACAGTCAACCCTGTTACTGTTAAATCTCGATGAAGATGTATTGAATTATTGTATATCTTTAAAATTACTTTAAATATCACCTAGACTGGAAAAGGGATACATTACAGAGAATGATCCAAATACTATTATGGGTGCCATCATTCAGCATATATGTTTCACCTGTCTTACTTCTTCTTGCCTAGAAGACAACTCAAACCACTGCTAAATGTTAGTCCACTCTCCCTAACATGCTGGCCCTTGAATAACTCATGAGTCATTTGGGTCTGTTATGTCTGAGCTCCATCCCTCTGCTTTGATATTCTGACTCGCTCTCCTCGACAAAACATCTTGTAGTTTGAGCAGCTCTGTCTTACTTCAGTTCATTTAGTGCAGCTACCTAAACATTTTCAGTAATTACAAACCCTCAAGGAAAACAGCCACGACAATTGCACTGAGCACTGTGGCCATGCTATGGTAACTGGCAGGTCTCGTTTGGAACTCATTATGGTACGGAGGCCTAAGGCCAAACATGATTAGATTAGGGTCAAATACAAGAACTTTACTATTATTGCAAGAGGTTAAACTTTCCACGCATTCTGAACAGTCCCGCACAGTCTCATATGTTCCAATTAACCTCAGCAAACAGTGCCCAGACTTAATAACGGTATTAGAGGTAAAGCGTGTTTCCTGTAGCAGACCGTAACTTGACAATTAGTAGACCATTACGAGCCTTCATGTCTCGGAAAACTATTCTTTGCATCCTGAAGTAAACACTGCTTAAATGTGCATTCTTGCTTTTGTTTTCTCTCCTAAAATAAATACCCACAATACCCCATGGTTTCACCACTCAAGTCCCACAAGAGGCCTATGAAGTACTATAAAAACATGTCCCAAAACAATTAGTGAATGCAAAGCCAGATTTAGTGTTTGTAGTATGTTAATAAAGATATAGCAAAGTGTACGCAAAGTAAAACTAACTGTAATTTATTGAGTAAATGATGAGAAAGAAAAAAGAAAAAGAGACATATTACTGTATTATATTCTTGACTAGTGATGATAATAATAATAGGACAATATTTGATCCTTTTGAGATCTGTACTGATTAATATTTATATTCTGCCAATTAGCAGAACTTTTCCCTTGTTATTTTCTAAAATGGACCAACACTTGTGGATTTTAGGTAAATATTGTGTAAATAAATTTCATTTCTCCACCATTGCCAGTCCCAATCCCAGATGAGAAAGGACGAGGGTTGGGTGTCGGGCTAGCCACCCATCCCCGTAAAATCTATACTGCTAAAGAAACGATGAATATCTCCTCAGTCATTATTAACTGGGTGAGTGAATCGGGTCCCTGCCAGATGATGGCATTTGAGCAAACCAGCAATGGTGCCTGACCAAGGATGCGATTTTCTCTGCAAAAATGATTATGAGACTTGGCACCTGGAACTTCTGCACATTTCATTAAGCCGGCCGCCTTGACCAACTCATCCGGGAATTTTAAAATTATCGTCACGATGCACTGGGAATTAATGAAGTATGGTGGATTGGCAGTGGACAATTGGCTAGTGACGGCAACACCATCCTGTTCTTCGGTCATACAGAATGCCACCAACGAAGTGTCAGAATCGTCCTGAGCAAACACGCAGCTGAATCCTCCGTCGGATGGACACCTGTGAGTGATAGAGTAATCACCGCGCACCTCCGGACCAACAACATCCAGATTATGATTGTTCAAGTCTATGCACCGACTGACAACGCAGAAGGATGAGTTTTACGGCCAACTACAAGATACCCTTGATGAAATACCTCATCATGATCTCAAGCTGGGCGGTGATCAAAACAAACTTGAACTTACTGTTGGTCCTTTTGCATCATCTGAGTGATAACGGTGAGCGGCTGATATCATTCTGCGACCATAACAACTTTTGTATCCGTAACACCTTCTTTCAACATTGTCGTAATCACAAGAAGACATGGTGTGCACCAGACTGTGTCACCTTTAATGAGATCAATCACATCTGCATCAGTTGACGATGGCAGACATCTCTCCGCAACGCACGGGTCTACAGGCCAGCGGACGTTGGCTCTGACCATTATCTAGTCCAGGCAAATGTTAAGCTCAAACTCAAATGCCAAAGACAAGTTGTGGTCAAGCATCCATATGCCAAAGAGAACCTTAACAATCAATATATCGCCGAAAGGTTTGCACTTAACCTTCAAAATTGGTTCGAGATCCTCAATGACACTGACGACATCAAAGATAGTTGGAAGACAATGAAAACTATCATCCAGAGCTGTGCAGATAAGAAGATTGGGCGCAGATGGGGAAAGATTAAAGAAAGATGGATCCAAGACCAGACGGCAACCACATGTGACGACCCCGGGCTGGACTCCACTTCGTCTGCGGTGAAAGCCAATCCGGCAATCCACAGCGCGAAGTTGATGTATTTCCTCAGCGACCAGCACGGATCAGCTCTGGGGCTGGTTGAAACGCTTTTAGAACTATATACAAAAACAACAAAATACAAATGCACTAAATAAAATAAAATAATTTAATAAATGCATATTTACAATAGGCACTTAACTCAAATAAGTATTAAGTAATAAAACTCATAAGAGAACACTGTATATGTCCAGTTTTGTGTAAGAGTGAAGGAAATCCGCTTGCAAGTGGAGAGATTCCTGCTCGCGCATTACATAGATGCGCTATCGTGTTACATTACTGCGCTCTCGACATTTGTCATTAAAACCAGTTAAACTCTGCGGACCCGGATACGGGTACAAAATGGCGTTAAAAATGTTTATGCTTCATTTACATAGCCTTCCTTATATGGTATCAGCCCATATATGGGTTCAAGTAAATTGCAGAGAGTTGTGCCTAATAGAACCTGAATTACAGATTTTCAAAAAAATACTTAGTTTTAAATCTCCAAAAGCGCCTATGTTTTTTTTGTGTTTATAGTAATATTTGAAAAGTATATAATGTTATTTATAAAGAATTACACTCATATTTTGTAGTTCAAAGGGTTTTCTTTACAATGAAACCATTTTTTTTCATTTCCTCCATTGTATGTGTGCAGGGTAAACATTTGAATTTGAGTATGTTAAATTTAGGCGAAAATACCAAAAAACGCCCTGAGCTTAAGTGGTTTTAAGATAATGCTATAGAAACCGCCTAAAATTAAATATATAGAACAAAAGAAAGCTGCCCGAGGAAGCTTCCTATTGCCCATGCCAGGATCCGCCACTGATGCAGTTAGAAATTTTATAAAAACAAGCCAATCACAAGACATCTGGTAGGAGGGGCACCTGGGGTGGCCAACCAGATTTCAGTGGGGGCCGGTGCCACCCCTGGCCACCATGTAGACCCGCCCCTGCCGAGGCCGACTGCGCACCACCTAGCACCGAACCTTTATCAACAATCTCAAGCTCGCCGGTGTATCCTGGGATGAAGCTGAAGTGCTGGCAGAGGACCGACACCGGTGGGGAGACCCTAAGTGCCCAACATCACGGGAAGATCTAAGTCTAAGTACATTTCATTTCAGCAATTTAGCACACGTTGTGTCACTTCTTTGTTCTACTGTTTCAATTTCTAAAAAGCAATTAAAATGGCAATGACATAAATGCATAAACCATTTCATATTTCAATATATTTGTTGAATTTGACTACCATTCAAAATTTTGATATCCTTTTTTTTGAGTCTGCATTTATTTGATTAAAAAATACAGCAATACTATAAAATATTTTTGCAATAAAAAATAACTGCCTTCTATTTTAATATATTTTAACATGTAATTTTAAATCTAATATGCTGATTTGGTGTTATTATTGTTTATTGTCAGTTTTAAAAGAAACTGTTCAAAAAGTTCAAAAGAACAGGATTATTTGATTATTTGAAATAGAAATCTTATGTAATAAAAGCAAGGACACATTTAAAAAAAACAAAAAAAAACATGTATATTCTAGTTCTATTCAAGACCACTAATCTAGACATTATGAAGAACTTGAGAAGTCCAGTCTTACCAGCTTCTTTAAGATTTTCAGTGAAGTCCCATTGAGCGTGTAGTGAATTCAGAGGGTCATTTTCAATGACAACTGCTGAACCGTTCCTCCAGTAGCCACAATCTTGAAATGGAGAAACAGTGTGTTAATTTATTACTAAATTAATTTTTACCTAAATTAGCCATACTGAATAATGCACATTCACAAAGACCCATAAAACACCTTTCATTCCAGATAAATGAGAGGATACCTGAAGCAAGGGATGGGTCTCTGTTGGCAATTTCTGAAAAGAGCACCTCCACCACACCGTCCTCTGGGAATCTTGGGTCTTGAATAGAGACAAGAGCAAATTATGACTGAAAGGGATGAAAGGCATGGAAAAAACTACGCTGCAAAGCAATGTGGGAACATCAACACACACACAACTACATGAGAGCTGATGTATCTGTGACTTGTAAGCACATTCGCCACAGCTATGTGACTGCTTTCATTTCTATCCATTCAAAATTACCGTTGATTGTGTAAGATTTCCCATTGCGTAAGGACTAAAATGAAGTGTTTGTGGAAAGAGTTAAGTTGTCAGTCTCTTTCTCAGGTCTGCTTGGGTCACCGTGTGTCTTGTCTGTCATTATTTACCAAAAACACTCAGCACTTGCTCACATGCTCAGTCACACACACACTCACATACTAGTAAACACAAACCTGTACTAAAAATAATGAAGCCCAAAAAGTATGAATTTCACAACATTACATACAAAATATCAAACGGCATCTGAAAACAACTTTTTTTAGAGGATGTATGAAATCAGTTTCTTTCCATTATAGAAAGAAAACACATATAACGACAAAGACAGGTATTATTTCTACAGTAAAACAAAAACAATAATATGGATACAAAATTGTGCACATACTGTATATCTGCCATCAATCCTGGAAACAAAATTCTCTCATTTCACAGATGCTTTGTATTTTCCCTTATTATTTAACTATATACAACATAACGGAGCTTATGCCTTATAACTCTTAGAATTACCTTGTTGAACATTTACGGTTCAAAAAAAAAAAAAAAGTCTGATCATATTGCTTTAATGTATTCAGTCCATTTCAGCGTTATTGTAATATCACTGAGAAACTATTATACTTTTTATTAATATTTTGTTAATTTTTTTACACTTTTTTTATTTTAATTTTAAAATTAAAATAAATGAATGTTTCAGTAATTGCTATGTTTATGACATTTTATTATTATTAACTATGAACATTTTCCTGTAACATTTGTCAACCAGATTTACAGTTCAAATACTTTAAGTCAACATTTTGAGCAATATATCTATTGATTTATATGAAAAGATAAAGGTTTTTGTGCTACATACAAAATAAACATTGTTTGGTTTGTTATTTTGCAAATGGAAATACCTTCTTAGATTCATATCTCCAAAACCTTTTGGGACACTTCGAGTGCAAAGATTTGACCAAAAACACTTTGTGTACCTATGTTTGCATGATCAAGGTCTTCTTTCTGCAAAGAAAGTTGGTCTCCACACAGAGTGCCGGTGTGGAACTGCACACGAAACACTGTCTCATGAGTCCTCATGGAATCATTTTTATGATAACACGCAATCTGCAGAGAAAGAAGAAATGAAGATTAGTGCTGTCTGCATGTGTAAGTGTGTGTGTGTGTGTGTGTGTGTGTGTGTGTGTGTGTTGTGTGTATGTAAGGGACGGAGAGACATCTCACCATGAAATCACCTTTGAGCATCTGTGGGGGTTCCAGAACAAAACACACTCTTTCTGTCTGACCTACGGCAACCTGCCTGACAGTTATACACAAGCACTAAGTATACACAAATTATGAATACTGTATAATCACATGGATAAACATGATGATACATATAATATGTCCAGCATGTTACAAAAGTACTTTCATATTGTGTTTATATAATATCTGGTGTCTTACTGCAATCCTGATGTGTATACTGTCTGTGTGTCTAGATACACTCTGATAAACAGCTGACACACTGAAAACAAACAAACCCAGAGGAAAATAGTATTACCTTTTCTATAGTTCACTTAAAAGAGATCGCAGTAATGTTTCATCAACTATTAACTTTGTCTCAGATGTTTCTCTTCAACTTCCTTTGTAGAAATGCTATAGAAAATAAACTAAATACAGATAGCATATTGTAAATTTGACGTGGAGGGCATATAAAATGCTTTTAGAAGAATTTGATACACAAATACTTTTACAGTATTTATAAATCTAGGTTAAAGTTAATGTCTACATATATAATTTAATACATTTTTAAGATTTCAAGTTGAATAAATAAACATTAGTAAATTCTATTATAAACAAATCGTTAGTAGATGTATTATAAACAAACATGAATTTACATATATATATATATATATATATATATATACACACACACCTATTTTTATATTGGATAAACAATAGTAAATTTAAAATAGTATATTTAAAAATAAACTTTAACCTAGATTAATTTAAAAAAGGAGAATAATAAGAATTGCTTAAATACTGCATTAACTAATGTTAATTAAAATAACTTTAAAGGGATAGTTCACCCAAAAAGGAATTCTATCATCATTTACTCACATTGACTTACTTTCTTCTGTGAAACACAAAATATATTTTGTTTCTTTTTTGTTTTCATACAATAGAAGTCAATGATCACCAAAACAGTTTGGTTACCAACATTCTTCAAAATACCTTCATTTATGTTCCACAGAAGAAAGAAATGAGAGTGAGATGACAGACTTCATTTTTGGGTGATTACTGAAGCATTTTTCTCAGGAGAAAATTTGGAGAACTGGGAGATTCTGAGAAAGATCTGTTCTGTATTAATGTACAAGAGAACTAATTGAGATATTAAATGGGATGACAAATACTGAAATTATTTGGGAATTAAAAACTATTTCACTTAAAAGTTAAAAGACTGGATGTACATATGGGTGTTTTCCTCACCTGTAGGGTGGAAGTCAGGAATGGGATGGATATTAATGCCATGGATGAAGAGCGGGGAAGAGTTTATGCGGATCTGATGGGTAAGGAGCCTGCCAAACACCTGCACATACCTGAATCATCCACAAACACCACAGTCACTCTTATTGACACAAGACAACAATAAATCAAGCCTGATGACACCAGCACAACTTCAGATGAAATCAATAATAAAACAGCAAAAAATGCATCAGCCTGGTCTTATTTGGCAATTACCAGCATTTTAAAACAAAGGGATTTAGGTGGAAGAAAGAATGCATGAATATTTCCAAACAAACAAGCCAAAGGTGTGAAAAGTATGGAAGCCCATTTCCATCACAAGATTAAAAAACTTAAATAAATAAAAAAGGTAATTGCAACTTTTTATCTCAAAATTCTGACAAATTCTTGTTTATCTGACTGAGTTTATGTTAAACTCAGAATTATGAGAAAAAGAATTGCGATAAGTCTATTTTTTGTTTCTTGCACTTTTATATCTCACAATTCCAACTTTTCTTCTCAGAATTGCAAGTTATAAACTCACAATTGTGAGTTAACATCGCAACTTTTTCTCAGAATTGTGTTTATATCCACCAAATTTACATTTCACAATTCCGTTTTTTTGTTGTTGTTGTTGTTTTCCCGCCACGGAAGAAAACATTTTTTTCTTTTTATCTTATAATTGCAAGTTTCTCACAATTCCGACTTTTCTTCTCAGAATTGTGAATAAACAACACAAGCAATTGCGAGGTAGCATCGAGTTTGAATCTCACAATTCTATGTTTATATCACACAATTCTGAGAAAAAGAATTGCTAGATATAAATTCAGAATTACAAGATATAAACTTAGAACTACAAGGGGAAAAAAGTCTGTTGTGGAAACAAGCTTCCATAGAAAAGTGTTACTGATTCTAAAAGCTGGAAAAAAAAACACATTTCTTGACATTCCTTCATTGATTTAGTACTATTCTGGGTGCGCCTCACTATCAAAGAGAATAAATAGCTTCTTTATAGTGTTGCCAAAAACAGCGTCTTTGTGTTGTTCCAACAACAGATCAGAGCAGAATATTTATGTTGCCATTTTTTAAGCTTTACAATAACTCATCTTCTGAAAAGTGTTTCTAGAGTCAATAGAGATGGGAGAACATAAGGGAATGAAAATGATAATGCACTAAACAGCAACTCTTGCTCAGTTTGCACGTGCATGATGGGTGACAGGCGGTGTCTTTCAGTATGATGTAAAAAAGAAAATACCAAAGTGTAAAATGAAGATGATTCACAGAAAAAGGAAGTGGGAATAATGTCAGGACATCCAGACTGCATAGGGGGATTTCCTCTCATGTGTGACCCTGAACCACTGTCCAGAGCGTAACCTTCACTCATGACAAACTGCTGAGTGACCAACAGCCATAACAGCACCAACACCTCAGTATGCGTCAAGATGAAAAGCAACAGGAAGAAGGGGAAAAAGAAAGTTAATGCATAAACGAATGAGCCTTGCCTTTTCTGAGATGGAGTCATAAGGTTAACCATTTTATCACTGCAGAACTTCTTCATGGAGTAGAGATCTAATGCATGTTCCTCACTGAAAGACAGAAAGGACACAACCGAAAGTATAAACCTATATCTCTTTGAATATTCCTCTACAGTAAGTTTTTAACTTGAGAATCTCTGCGACCTAATCACTGAACAAATCATTCAGACTGGACTTGTGAACTGGTTCAACCAATTCACTGAAAAGATCCGAATCAAAAGAATCATTTGTTCAAAAACTGGACATTGCTCATGAACTCTCATGACCGCATCAATATTTTCAGTGAATAATGACTTAAATTTGAATCTGTTCCTCACACATATGAATTCTGAAGACTTGGAATATAGTGCATAATCAAAAGGACTTTTTATGGTGCTTTTGTGTCTATTTCAAAGCTTGAAAGTTTCCGTGGCCTTTTATTCGCACAGAAAGTCATACAGGTTTAGAATGGCATGAGTAAATAGTACCAAATTGTCATTTTGGGATGCACTATGTCTTTAAGCAGCTTGTCTGAGAAGGCAATTGTCTTTTTAAAGATGTTTTGACTTGTTAACAATGGATATAAATTGTTGAGTTGTACCTGGTGGAAACATTAGATAGCTGGATGTAAGAGGATATTACCACACCCACTCTGTCTTTGCTGCCCTACGAGAGACACAGGAAGAAGTTAACCAACCGTGTCATTCCTACAGTCAGAGTCCCAGAGACAAATAATGGACTTTGAGCCTGAGAATAAACTGCAAATATCTTTAAATCTCACTTTGCAGTGTAGCAGCAGCACATTTTCAGAGTATGTCCTAAGCCAGTTGTCCATGTTTTTACACACCGAACACAGCAGATGGAGCGAAGGAGCATGTCGCTCTGGCCATCCCAAATCCACCACCTAACAGTCACAAATGTGAAATAGTTAAACATATATTTCAATTCAAAAGTTTGGGGTTAGTAGGATTTTTTTCTTTCATTTTTTTTCAAAGAAATTAATACTTTTATTTAGCAAGACTGCATTAAATGGATCAACAGTGTCATTAAGGGCTTTTTATGTTACATAAAAAAATGTGAAAAAATTTACCATGGCTGCCACAAAATAACAATCAGCCGTTTTCAACATTCATAATAATAAGAAATGTTTCTTGAGCAGCAAATCAGCATATTAGAATGATTTCTGAAGGATTGTGTGACACTGAAGACTGGAGTAATGACTGCCGATGACCCAGCTTTGCCATCATAAATTACATTTTAAAATATATTAACATATTATTCTCATATTATTTTATAAAATTATTTAATATTATAATAATATTTTAATAATAATATTTCCCAAAAGTCCTATTTGTATTTTATTTTGGATCAAATTAGTGTAGCCTTGGTGACCATTAAAAAAATCTTACCAACCCCAAACTTTAGAATGGAAGTATGAATATTATCACACATGACACATCTGTAACAGTCACATGACACACAGTTTAACTTTACCCTGTGATTCATCCTGCTGAGATCATCACTGTGTTCGGATAAATTGATGACCTGCATGCAGGAAAATAAAGGTTTTGTTCCATGTGACCCCAATAGCAAAAGTCAGTCAAGTCAACAGACACCTGATTCGTTTGTTTTTCTGGTCTGCTCACCATGTATCGATCAGCATGTTTGGACTGCAGCATCTGCATGATGCTTTGCAGGTTGTGCTGGTACGTCTGCTCTGTGCAGGACTGGTGAAAGGCGATGCCAATGATACGCTCTGTAATGTAGTCCAGGTCAAATTCAGATCCCTCTGCCATCACAACAGTGTTCTCTCATGGGAGGAGATCTGCAGAGAGGACGAGACTGGCTTCAGTTCAATAATATGCAGGGCTCTTTGAAAGCATTTGTTTTGGCATGTAGGGATGATCAAATCTGCAGGAATCCATGAAAGATCGGCACTGGTTGAAATTTCTGCCAACAGACCGTAACAGTAGGACTTTGTCAAGCCCTTGGACACTTACAATCAGACATGCAGAACTGTTTGCATCATTTAAATTGCATAGAAATCTTCAAGATAAAATGTAACTTTAATATACGAATAATCTTCTCTAACACATCATTTATTAGTCTCACATACACTCTTAATAGATACTTGTCACATTCACTAGTTTTTAATGCATATAAATTATCATAGTACCTATATGCAGTGAACATAGATACATTACAAGAGAAACTGACACTTCTGTCAATTTATGAATTTAGCCATGTGTGTAATAGTGTTCTATAGTGGAAATGCTGATGGTGGAAACTGTATTTTCATAACTTCTGTAATAAAATGGTCAACTCCTCTTGCAAAGCTTAATTGCATAGCAAGATTTTCATGCACCTTTTTGATTTTTTTCCATAATTTGATAAAATTACAGCTTGACTGTAAATGACAAGCTAAACAGCTTAAGTCATTGTTAACTTGACTTTTCTTCATTTTCTTCACACATTAGATCTCAAGCATGCCACAACAAAGTGACAGTTGTAATTTGTGTAAATATGTAAATCATGTTCACAAAGTAAATATCAAATATACTACCAGTCAAAGGATTACGCTCTTATGCCCACAAAGAATGAATTCAAATAAAAAATACAGTAAAAACAGAATTATTGAGAACTATTATTGCAATTTTAAATATCTGTTTTCTATTTAAATATATTTAAAAATGCAATTTATTCCTGTGAATGCAAAATTGAATTTTCAGTTTTCAGTGTCACATGATCCTTCAGAAATTATTCTAATATGCTGATTTGATGCTCAAGAAACATTTCTTATTATTATCAGTGTTGAAAACAGTTGTGCTACTTAATATTTCCTTTTCATTATTCTTTTATTAAAAGAAATAAGAGTATTTCTAACAACATAAATGTCCTTTTTATCTGAATGTCTCACTTTTTAATTAATTTAATGCATCCTTGCTGAAAAAGTCTTCTTAAAATATCTTGACCCCAAACTTTTGAATGGTAGAGTAAATAAAGGACATTTGAAAAGTATAAATAAATGAAGAAGAAGATACTGTACAAAGTGACTCGCTGACTTCAGAGAGAACATAAGCAATGTCTCACCAAACATTAATAGCAGCATTTAAAAATCCATGCACAAAGGAAACTGAAACCACAGCCTGATTAAGCAGCCACAGTTCTTTCATAAAAGAGTCACAAGATATAAATCTGCTTTTGCTCTTACACATTCTCTTTCACACCAAGGACGCTTCCTCTATTCTTTTCATTCAGTATCTCTTTTCCTCTGAGAAGATAAAAACAGTTCACAACACTACTACATTGCAAATTACAATACATGTAATCAGTCACAAATAATGCTTTACAAAGTTCAATCAATATACAGTTCCTTTCTTTCTACCATTCATTTCTGACCCACAAACACATGTAGTGCGCAAGACCACACAGCTTCCAATACATAAACACATGACAGCCTATGGGTCACTCTGACACTTGCCATGTGATAGTGGAAAGGCAAAACAGATCCACTGAACTGAAGTGAGACTCAAAATTAACCACTCAGACTGTTTCTTTTGTGAGCTGACCTGACACAAAGTGGACACACCTAATGACAACACATAAAGAGACAGAGAGGACTTTGCTTCTTGTTTCTATTTAAATTACGTCTCAGTATAAAAACCTGCTTACGAACATACCAATTCTCCACTTCAAGCAAAGCTTTATTGTACATTTATTGCAAAATAAATATAATATAACCTTATACTTCATATAGAGGTGTGGTTAAACACAGCTGATCTGCTCACCGTGTTCCCTGTTCACACCAGATCAGATTTCCTAAAGTTTACCCACCTTCACTTTCAGCATTGCACACCTACACCATGTGCTCCATGTGTCAGTGTATGTGCGTCTGGTGACTTATCTGCTGTATGTTTAATCCTTAACCTGTGTTTAACCTTCAACCTCCAATTAGATCCATAAAAAAAAAAAAGACACAAAAACACAAATTACATACAGAGAGCTCACCTGAGTGCTGTCTTCACCGAACACATATAGAAACAGCTGAAAGAACTCACCCTTCTGTCCGGTTGAAATCTCCTCTCAATACTCTTCTATATGCCTGCAAACATGAAAAGAGAAAAGAAATGCAGCAAAAGGCTTTGTCTGAGCTCACATGTACTTTGGCCGATGTGGTGTATGTGCATGTTCACCCGTTGTCAGCATTTGTGGTGTGGTAAGCATGAGTAAAGAAACAGTACCAAGGGAACACACCTCCCTATTTCAAAGAAAAAGCCCTGAGTCACACAATGGACATATGATGTTGCAATGTCTGGACTTTTTTTTTTTTTTTTTTTTTTTTTTTTGTGTATTGGAAAGGTCAGACCTGATATAGAACAGATTGTATCATTAAAATGCACACAATTATCATAGTAATCCATTGATTTCTAAATAATTAACGAAACTATGTGAGCTCTCACGTACGTTTTTTTCCATAGACTGTAACTGGGACATAATGGTTAAATATTACCAGCATGTGCATTCTAGATTTCTGCTGTATCCAGACTTGTGAGATAATGCCTGTCAATCACAAACTGAAAAACAGCTCTGAAGGAGTGTGACAGCTGAAGTTTCACCAAACATAAATTTATGTTTAGTTGTCAGAAAAATGTGGGGTACTTCCAGTTAGTGCTATTTAACATGTCTGCTATTTAATGCCAAACGTTGCATCCATGAGGCATCTTCAAAATCCTTTTTAATAATGTCTAGAAAAAGATTACATAAAAGGTTTGTTTAATGAATGCAAAAGTCACATTCAGCAGTAAGGCTATTTAAGGTAGTACATCATAGTAAATGTGAGGTCAGACTGAGGGGCCAAAAGTGCATGTGCATCTGCTGCCCCCTACTGGACAATCAGTCATAGAAAAATAAACAAGCTTAAAGAGACAGGTTCATCCAAAATAATAATAATAATATATTCTGTCATTATTTACTCACTCTCATGTCATTCCAAACCTGTTGACTTACTTTCTTTTGCAGAATACCAAAGGAGATATTTTGAAGACCGCTGGTAACCAAATCATTTTAGTGACCATTTTTGGACCAAAAAAAAATTTATGTTCCACAGAAGAAAGAAAGTAAGGTTTAATGGTGAGTAAATCGAAATATTTATTTTTGTCTGAACTATCTTGTGTAAACTCAATTTTCAGCATAACTAAATATTCAAAGCAATGACGTCAAAAACCCAAAGACTAATTGACCATGGGTATTTCAATTTATGAGCAAAATAAGGTCTGTGGTAAATATAAATTAACGAAACGATGTTTTGATCTATAATGTAAATTACACAAACCCATACTGAAAACGCAAAATTTGAATCAGTTATGTTAATTTTTCTAAAAATGTACATTATGTTTGTAATATCGGGGTTTCTGCAAGTTTATGAAGGTAAATTTAAGACTTTCAAAGAAAATGTAAGGAATACATTAAAGGGGAACACAGCACATTAATATGTTCTCTAAATGTAAATGTCTAAGGAGAACACGAGTCACGTTAGCAGTAATCTCCATTACTTTTATTTAATTTTACAAAATAAACTGCTTAACTAGAATATGGAGATAACTTTTACTGTACCTTCTGATCACACTGCACAAAAAGTGATGTTCTGTCTTGTTTTGTAAGATGTCTTGTTTTCTGGGAAATTCATCAAAATTAAAGGTGACATATCATGACAATCTGACTTTTCCAGGCTTTAAGTGCTATAACCAGGTCCCCGGTGCATCTTTCCAACCAAGGAAACGTGAAAAAGATTAACCCAGTAACTTTATTTTGGTAACTTAAGCCTTTTTCTGCAAGCGTCTGAAAAAACGAGCGTCTGATTTCGCTCCCTTGGTGACATGGCAAAGGGATCTCATTATAATATTACCGCCCCTTAATCTGCACGTTTCCACCCATGGCGCCACCATTTTGAATTTGCAAGCGACAACCAGTTCTAATGCCATGGCGAAAGTTTGAGCAAAACATGCTAACTGTTCTGTCTTTGGCTGCACAGACGAGCACAGAACACTGTTTAGAGTCCGAGCCTCAGAGACAAGAGAGCAGTGAATTTATTGATTTATTTAATGTATATTGCTGCTGCCATACAGATCTAAAATAAACATGCGATTTATTGCATTATTATTAATAAACAGCTTTATTTCCCAGCTGTTTACCTTCACAGACATGACCGACCGTTTTTGTAACTTGTGTGTTTTTAACGTAAACTTGTGTGAATGAGAACTTAGTTTAGTACTCACATGCTGTGACAGCTGCTTTCTGTCCGTGTGCTTCGGATGTGTGCACTCAAAAAACCATATATCAGAAATTTAAACTAATATGGTTTAAAACGCATGATTTCAGCATGATAAACATGATAATCAGAACCAAAACAGATGTTTTTAGCAGGTCGAAAAACAGCGTGTTTCTGCTTCCACTCAAAATGGGCATTTTCAAAATGATATTATAAATGATCTGTGGAGTATTTTGAGCTGAAACTTCACAGACACATTCTGGGGACACCAGAGACTTGTATCACATATTTTAAAAAGCGGCATAATATGTCTCCTTTAAGTGAATTTATGATCACTAAAAAAAGACAAATATCTGCCAATGGGCTCAGAGAAATCAACTTAATTCAAAGGGAAAACAAGTTTTTATACCCCATTTACAGATGTTTGTTCTTGCTTTAATAAACTCACTTTCTAAAAAAAAAAAACCTTCATATCTTAATTTGCATCTAAGGATTTAAGGATGTTTAGATATTTGAATTGGAAAATAAGACAAAAATACTGACAAAGATGTTAATTTTTCAGTGCATGCAACATTTAATGCCATGGCCCCATTTGAAAACCTTTAAGGCCTAAATTTGTGGAACCCAGAGAAACCCTGAATAATTAACTACATCAGAACGTTTGAAGTGCAAGTATGTGTAATTTACATTGTAGCGCAAAACGCCCAAGTATACCAAGTGATGTTTACCACAGACCTTATTTTATTCATGAATTGAAAAACCCCATTTTAAAAATCCATAGTAAAATCATAAGCGAAGGCAAATTAGTCTTCTGGGTTTTGCCATCAAA